TTATATTATATTATATTAGTTTAATTGGCTTTTGGCTAATTAGTAATAGTGCTATTAATTATTAGGCATTATTAGGTTATAAAGAGAGTATGGTAAAAGCATATATTTCCTATTTATAAATTGGCCGTAAGCCAATCTCTTATATAGCAACGCTAAGCGTTGCGCGCTTAGTCATCTGCTTAGTCATTATATTGGGCTACGCCCAACAGGCTTTTAGGGTATTATAACGGTCGAAAATAATTTTTTAAGCCCGAAAAAGGTTAAAAACCTTTTTAAATTTTATATTATATTAAAAAAAAGCTATAAATTGCCGAAAAATACCGAAAAATGCTAATTTTTATCGAAAAAAACCGGAAATACGGGCTAAAAAAATTATAAAAATATAAAAAATTTTATAACGGTAATTTATTTTAAAAAAAATTTCCGAATAACGTCGAAAATAATCGAAAAGCGTAAAACGCGGTAAAAAATAAAAATAGCCGATAAAAGCAAAAAAAGGTCGAAAATAGTTAAATATATTTTATAGGTTTTATAATGTTTTTATATTTTAAAATCGCCGGTTATATAAGGTTAAAAAAAGTCGAAAAAGGTTTAATTAAATTTTTTTTTTAACTTTTTTAAAAAGCCGCGCTTTTAAAAATTTATAAAATAAATTAGCGGTCGAAATTTATTAAAAAGCTATTTTCGGAAACTTATTAAATCGGTGCGAATATTGCCTTTTTTAGCTATTATAATAATAATTCGAATAAGCATTATTATTATAATTTTTTATAATAATACAAAAGCGAAAAAAGCCGGAATCGTTTGAATAACGGTTATAAACGTCGGAAACGGCCAAAAAAATACCGAAAATAATTATTAAAGCGGCTTCGAAATTAATAATATTAATATTATTACCTTTTTATATTTTATATTATTCGTAATTTTTTAGCGTCGAAAGCAATTAAAATTTATTATAAATTAAAGGTTTACTAAATATTTTTATTATTATTACGCTTTTCGTTAAAATAAATTTATAATATATTTTCGGGCGTAAAAATATTTTTTTTTTACCGTAAATCTTTATTAGCACGTTTTCGATTATTTTCGGTTATTTACGATATAAATATATTATTTACGTAATTTTTTTTAATTATTTTAATATTTCGGCTAATTTTAATATTTAGCTTTAATATTATAAAAACCGTAATATTAGCCTAATTATATTTTTTCGGGCTAAAATGGTTTTTAGCAAAAACGGGAATTTAATTTTTAGCTAAATCGGCGTTATTCGTAACCGGATCGATTAAATTGCAATTATAAGCCTTTAATATAATAATTCCGTTATATAGCGTTTTATTAAGCTAACGGGTATTTTTTATATTAATAACCGTAAATTTGCGCTTAACCGGGGTTAAAAAGGTGCTTTTAGTGCCGGAAAAGATCGGTAAAGCTTTACGGCTAGCTATTTATTTTTTTAGCTTTTAAATGCGTATTTTTAATGCTTTTCGGATTTTTTCGGCTTTTTCCTCCTTTTTTCGGGCTTTTTCGCTTTTAATTCGAGCTTATTTTTTAGAAGCTTTAAGCATTTTTTTTAGCTTATTTTTTTTAGGTTTTTTTTTTCCGTTAATTATAACCGCGGTTAAAAAGCGTCGAAAAACCTTAAAAAAAATCGGAAAGCGTCGTAAAATCGCGTAAATAATCGGTTAAAACCGAAAAATAGCGAAATAAATCGCAAATATTAATTCGGGTTAATAAAAATATTAAGATTATTATAAAAATATAATTAGTAATTTTTCGGTAAAAATCGGTAATAAATAATTATTAAAAGGCAAAAATAATTTTAAAAATATAATAAAAATTAATAATATATAAATTACGGGTTAATATACGTTATAAAAAATAGGCTTTCGGTCAATTATTTAATCGTTTTAAGCCGGGAAAAATTATAAATAACGTAAAATAAGCTATATAATGCATTTTTAGCGATAATAAAATATAAAAATGCTTGTAAATAAGGGAATTTATAGTTATTATAAAATTAGGTAATATATTATAATATATTAAAAGTAATTATTTAATATAAAATTACGTTTAAGGTCGCATATACGCTAATTTAGCTATATTTAATTATATTAAGCCGGGAAAAGTTGCAAACGACGTAAAATAGGTTATATAATGCATTTTTAGCGATAATAAAATATAAAAATGCCCGTAAATAAGGGAATTTGCAGTTATTATAAGATTAAATAATATATTATAATATGCTAAAAATAATTGCTTAATATAAAATTGCGCCCGGGGTCGTATATACGCTAATTTAGCCGTATTTAATCGCAAAAACTTTAAAAAAATCGCGTTACGTATAAAATCGACTCGAAAACCCGATTATTACGATAAATTAGCTTTAAAAGGTATACGTAAGTGGAAAATAGGGGTATATAATAATTATAATTTACCGGTAAATTAATAATTTAAAAAAGCTAAAATTATATAGCTAAAAACCGAGGGAAAATATAAAAAATCTTATAGCATAAGTCCTATTTACGCGCTATTACGTAATTTTAATTAGGCTTAATTAAGAATTAATAATTTTAAATCGGGTTAATTATAGCAATTACGATAATTTTAACAATTACGTAAATTTTTTAGCTAAATACTAATTATAAATAGCAAAAATAATTTTAGATATTTACGGCATATTACGGTATTTTTTAATTTTACGATTTTATTATCGCTAATTATTTTGCTATAAATTACGGTATTTTTTAACTTTATAATTTTGCTATTATTAACGATTTTGCTATTGCTTACGGTTTTGCTATTGCTAATAATTTTTTTGCGTAAGCAAAAAAAATCTGGCTGACAGGGTCAGCTAGTAACTCGATAACCTACGACTATTCCTGCCTTTTATGTTTTAGGGCAAGACCCGAAAACGGCTTGTATCTCTTTGATTAGCAGGAAACTCGTTGTCTTCGACTCGAGCGTCCATCGCGCAACAAACATCAAGAGAGCCTACGCAGCTTTATACGAGAAGATGGGCAGCTAAGGTGTTGGGCTGAAAGACCAACACAGTGATGGTCCGTGCGCTCTTGACACACTATGAGAGATTGGCGTGGGGCCAACCCATGGGTAGAGAGGGCATGCTCAATACAACACTCACGTGATACGACCGTATTGAAGAAATGAAGATAATATTAAAGATAGTCTTCTAAGTTCAAAATTCTAACGTGCACACAAACGGGATAGAAAGCCCTTCCCGTTGAACTAACAGCCTCCTTGAGGCTGTACGCGGATAGCCACATACTTCAGCGTATCATCACGGGTGCCTGGTACAGTGCTTTCACGTTTACTGAGATGTCCCTCAAGCATAACACCGTATATATCGGGATCATGCGGTGATGATATGTATATTCAAGTGTTTTTGTGAAAATGCCGGTAATTATAACAGTTGAACGCGTTTTGGCTGGCTTTTCCCTCATGTCCTACTTTTATCACTTTAAAGAATCGTATAACTAATTTAATTCATGCAAAGGTATCCCTACTAATGATGATACTCATGCCTTCCCAATGAGTACGTATACCCCGATAAGCATCTCGTCCACGAGCATATCTCGTACGATCGAAAAGCCCCATAATTTCTGTCCTGTTCAATAAGACAGCAGGCGTTAGAATGAGGCTTTGATGGAAACGCTAAATAGCGCATATGTAAGTATTCCGTATACTAGCACTAGTAGTTGCAGATTCGTGGGAAGGCAATTCGCAATGGGGGAACACTGGGAAATCCCCTATGATGAAAGATGATTTCTTGTGTGGTTGCGGAGCAAAAAAGGTTGTTAAAGCTAGGCCATCTACCGCAACTGTTATCCCATGCTCCCGGTACTCATTCGTGCCGGGTTCTTGCCTTCCTGGCACAGCCCCAACCACTAGCTAGAAGAATGCAATTGCTAGCGAGAGCAAGCGCTGGACAGAGTGCACGGCGACGGCCTACCACCTACCTAGTCGTGGGGCTATATGTAACAAAGAAAGGCAAACGATATCTCACCTGAGCCAATAAAGAAGGGGACTAAGTAATCGTAAACGCAACGAAAATAGATTGAGTTAATCCTATAAAGCTACAAAAGAGATGCGCTGAAGAGCTATCTAATATACCCGAGCAGGTGATCTGCGGTGGATGCTACTACCTACGTACTGTCATATAAACACTGAGTTATTCTAGAATGAATAATTTAGTTAGCCTACGTGATATAATAACTAAAAGCCTGTGAAACTCTGCATTCTCGTCTCATTCTGCCGTTTCTTCGTCATCGGGATCTAGGTCAACAAGGACCTCATTTTTCAGATGAGCTCCCGACATATAGTCTACTGCGCTGACAAAATCAATATAGCCGCAGTTCGGGCTTGAAATATGGTAACCCATAAGCTGTTGAACCTGAGGTATCTAAGACAAGACCTCGTCTTTCGAATGAATAAGCATTGTATCTCCTTTTGGATGGCAGACGTTAATGTTAGAACGAAAAGATATCTATAGCATTATGGTAAGTTTTTCAGGTGCAATGGGCATACCTCTTGTCTGTAGTATCCTCTTGTGAAGAACATACTATGAATTGTTCTCCTCTGATCAACTGTTCGATTCTCGCCCCCGGCGTGATATATGCTCCCCAGAAAGCAGAGAGCATCACCACGATTTATCGTCGCTACGTAGGCGTCCTCGAGCTGAGCCAATACAGTCAGCGAATTACCTTCGAGTTTTAGAGAGAGAATCAGAACAGTCAACGCACTTTTGGTGGCCTATTATCTATCCAGAGATGGCTGCCTGGGATGACCTGCGTGGCTCCATTCTCCTCATTGGAGTTGACTCCAGCGATCAAGAAACCTATGCAAACATCTGCATGAGGTGACATCCAGTAGCGGTCTGGTCTTTGTGTTCTCCATGGAAGTTCTTGTCATCGCGATGCAGTGGCTGCGCCTTGCCAGTGTGAAGGAGCTACTCAACACCGACGACTGCCCGTCTATACCTATTAGCAGATATCGAACATCTCGAACTCATCACCTTTCACAAGCTTATACAAAGAGCCTTGAAATGTATCTCGCTCCTCCTCCGTAGCCGGCCCATTGGCTAATACTATGTGATTTACACCACCTACACGTTCATAACACGATTCCCCTTTGTGATCGGAAGTCTTTTGTAAAATCCAGGCCTGGAACCTGAGGCGTTCATCTGAATCCCGATACACATGGACCAGCATCAGCTTGAAGGTGCCTTCTTGCAGTCCCTGCCTCAGGGTTTGGCGGGAGGCTTTTCGCGTACCATTGGCGTGACTTAGATAGCTCCTCTGAAGTGTCCAGCGCGTTTCGGTAGCGTTTGTGACAGACTCGTCCGCACCCCACGGCATGGGACAACCATACATGGAGATGGTGTCATTATCGTGCCTTCCATCAGTTCCCTCGACATCTTTCAACGCAAAAGCGGATGCTGGGATCGCGACTGAGGCAAGGTTCAGCACAAGGGGACCCGACTTAGCCCTACGAGCTTCACCTAGGTCCATTCTCTCTTCACCAACCCCGGCCCGGAAGCCAGCCACCTCCAGCTGAAAGACTGTCTTCTCGCCGTCTTCAGCAGACCCATAGGGCAGAGTCCACGACACCGCTCCATGCCACCCCACCCATGACCATGACGGGAAGCCCTGTCTGCGTGAGTTACCCTCTACGCCGTGGTGCCAGCAGAGCCCCGAGGTGTTGAGCTTTGCGTTCATCACGTCCCATCCCATGATGTCCTACTCATCTGGCTTGTAATGAAAGGGCAGACCTTGCACGATGCCGATACACCATCGCTCATCGCGGTCGCGCCACTCGTCCATGTCCGCAAACGGGCACCATTCCAATCCGTCAAAGTTGTTGAGCACGGCCCCAAATGCATTTAGTGCATCTTCTGACTTGGTCAAGTTTCTGCGCGAGTACGCGCCCACTAGATACGCCAACCAGCTGAGTATTTCTATCCAAGGCCCCGTGGCAAAGGCTCGCTGGGTTGGTCCATTGGCGAGCGACCTGCCGGTCCAAAACCTATCACTGGCTCGCAGGGTCTCTGAAACCTCGGTCTGCTCAAGGTAGAACGGGGCCATAGCGCTGCACTCGTAGTAGATCCCGCGGGCGTGGAAGGCAAGGATGCGGCGCGACACGTACGACTCTTGGTACGTCCATCCGCGCGTGTTCCAAACGGAGCCGGCAATGGCGTCGAGCGCCGAGGCGAGTCGCTCGTCCTTGGCATTGGTGTCAGCCGAGGAGAGGCTCGCAGAGCTATCTGTGTCGACATTATACCAGGACGTTCCGGCCTCCGATGGTGAGCATAGAGGCGCCAATCCGGCCTCGGCATCGCCGCCCACGGCGGCTATAATGGTCAGCTCGGCGTGACTGTAAACCTCGTGCATCTCGTCAATCTGCCGTTGCTTGATTGCCAAATTCTCCTGATTGATGCAGTACTGGTCCGCCCACAGGTACCGCATCCCTAAGTACTGCGTCGCGACCATTGCATCCTCTATGGAGCGGGATACTCTTTGGGCAAGCTTCTGCCCTTCGACTAGTGGGACAACTTTCGTATTCGGACCCCAGACATAGCTCAGTGCCACATATGGGATGGAGGACTGCGTGGTGATCAATTGGCGGTACTCGCAGTCGATGAGAGTAATCTCGATATAGGGACCATTGAGCTTCTTGCAGCTTGCGTAGCCAAGGTATGATTTGTTGTGCTTTTGGAAGCAATTTGTTAGAAGCCCTGGAATCTCTGCAAGACCTGGGAAAGGTTCCTCGATTTCTGGCTCCGAGGCCTGGTCATCGCCATGACCCGATGGTGAATTTTTGCTTTCCGGGAGACCGGGAGAAGGTTCTTCTGTACGAGCCGAGGGAGGCTCTTCTGGGGCCGTAATGGGGTCTTCTGGAGGGTCGCTGGAGATGGACGAGCTGCTTTCCGTTTCATGACGGCCTCGCCACAACTTTCTACGCCTGTGGTGGTGACCTCCATGTCTTTGGCGTTTGTGTCCTTTTACTGATGAGATTATTTCTCGAAGGCAGAAGAGGTGCTTGCGATGTTCCTCGGCCATAGCGGTAACAGGTTTAAGCTAGTATAATTCCGTCTTTTGCGCGACTCAAGTCTTTGCAAACATTTGTTCAACAAGCTGGCATCAACTTGAACTGACACTATTGGGTGTCAGTATCTACATGGTATAAATACTTGATCTCCTATTCTTTTTACACGATCATGCGGTGTTGGTGGCACCCGGCGATCCCTGGAAGCCCGCGTACTATCCACATTGACAACACACCGTGGAGTGTGGGACACATTGGCTGCCACTTCACATTTGCGTTCCTGGGCCACAATTAATATTGCTCAACGGCTAAGTTGAGCAGGGCATGAAGTGAGAGAATCTTAGCAAAATTGTATGCAAATGCATAGATCAGTCGCTGAATTATGAAGAAACTCATAGTTTGGGTTTTCTGATTGGGCCTTTTGCTTCGTCATGCTTGAATACCTACCTAGGCATATAAATACTTCGAGGCGGAAACATTGAGCGTGGCTTGTAAATACGGGTCTACGGCCACTATCAAGTGATCCACAACGCTGCGCCCTAAGACGGTAGCGAAATTTCCCTCTGAAGCTTTCGATACAAGCAACATTGAGGAGTTCATGCCCCAATATATTGAAACCGGTACAAGTCAATATCGCTGTCATAAATCCACGTAAGGCAAGTCTCGGCGACATGCCACCGAGTATCAAACAAAACTTCCTACGTCTAGTCGCGCTGTACTAGCTCCTTCCAATACGTATCTCTGGGTGAAAACACCAGATTGGGGCCATCATGGTCAGCAATCAGAGAATCGTACAAGTGAAACTCATCTACACGAGGCCTGCTGCTGGACTGGGGATCACCACCGCCCAGCTCACCTGATTTGCCTGCCGCCTTTTCAAAATCAAAGTACCAGAGCTTCTTGGTTATCACCAGGCTCATCTCGAGATACGCCAAGCCTTTGCCTAGACACAACGCAGAGCCCACTGCAAAGGGGACAAAGACGGATCGCATCGCGGCCATGCTGTCCGCGTCTTCGCCGGCAAGTCAGCGTTCGGTCGAAAGGTCCACGGCTCCGGAAAATAGGCCTCGTTGTGCATCAAGCAGTAGCCGTTAACGCCGACATAGGTGCCGCGGGTTACCACATATCTGTCGACCACAAAGGGCTCGGTCGATTTAGACTGGGGTCCTCCTCGCGCCAGGCCTTAATAGTGGTGGAGGGCGCCATGCGGAGCGATCTGTCAATCACGGCACGCAGGTAAGTGCAGCCGGACAGCTTTGGCCCATTCTTGATGGACTCACTATTGGGGAAGGCGGCGCGGATATCCGTCGCCAGGCACTTATAGACGACTGCGTGGCGAGAAAGATAGAATAAAATGGCGCCTACGTGGCCGAGCCGGCTATTGTAACAACCATGCAGCTCGGAAGTTGGCACCTTTGAATTAAGGAAATGAGGACATGTGCGGTGCGGAGATGCTGTCTCTGCAGAGAACGGGAATCATTTTACGGCACAGCAGCAAGATCATATCACGCCCCGCTCATGGATGGATGATGCATGTTTTCTGGCAAATGCATCGAGGTTGGTGATCGCTATTGAAAACGAGACGTTGACTTTGACTAGCAAGCAGAGCCCATAAATTGGCCCTGCAATCGCGGGCCTCATGTGAGGAACTCCAGCTCCCAGGGCCAACAACGAAGTCTTGTCGCACCTTTCCGCCCGTTGCCCGCGCCACCGCTCTGCACTCCGTAAACGACACACTTTGATCCAGCACCGCCGTAGTACCTTGATTGCGCAATGCAGATGTTTGGGTGGTCTATTTGTACATGAAACTTCATAGCTTAGAGGTTATAGAGCTGCATTGCGATCACGAAATATGTGGAGGTGAAGTTTATCATGCCTTGTGAACCCACGACGCAATCTTGGGGCAGGCCATTTGCGCTGAAGCTACGACACGCTACGCGGTAACCGCAGTAGCCAACTTCTTGCGGATTAATACCGACGATCAGCAGCAGACGACTCAGAGCCACATGATTGAAGGAAGTCAGATATATCCGTCAAGCCTCGGTTCAAAGTCAAATGTAGAGGTGTCCGTCCATTATTGTCTGGAGCTGAAACATCAACACCAGAGTCTACAAGAAGCTTTGCAGTTTCCAGACGCTCTTTCATGTACCCAAACAAATGTGAATCCACAAGGTGATGTAATGGTGTTTCTCCATTACCAGTAGTGGCTGATGGATCGGCACCATGGTCGATGAGTAGCCCGGCGATTTTTGTATGATTATGGCCGCAGGCGTTATAGCATGCTCGATGTAATGGAGTCTCTCCCTGTTTGTTGGTAGCCGATATGTTGGCACCATAACCAAGAAGCAACTTAGCCATTTCAAAGTGACCGCTATAAGCAGCTTGGTGCAATGGTGTATTGCCATTATCGATAGCAGCCGATATATCAGCACCAAGATCAAGAAGCAGCTTAGCCATTTCAAAGTGACCGCTATAAACAGCTTGGTGCAATGGTGTATTGCCGTACTTGCTGGGAGCCGAGAAATCAGCACCACGATCAAGAAACAGCCTAGCCATTTCAAAGTCACCTTTAGAAATAGCTCGGTGCAATGGTGTATTGCCGTCTTCATTAGCAGCCGATAAATCAGCACCGTATTCAAGAAGCAGCTTAGCTATTTCCAAGTGACGGCTTTCAAT